ATATATATATTACCATCTGCTCCATTGTGGCCATTGAATAATTGCGGATAAAAATTGGGACGTACAAAATTTTCATTTTATGGTAAAATCTTCGTTTCTTCTGAGTAATGCCAACTCAAGTCGAAGGGATGACGAAGGCAGTTTAGGGTACACCAGTCACTGATTTTTTTAGCAAAAAAAATCTCCTCCTAAATGGATCCCCTTACACAAGATCGGAAAACTAGCGAATTCGATCCACAAGTGAGGCAGCGTACCATCCAAAATCCGAGTACGAAGAACAATTTGATACAATCGCTGATACCAGTCGTAACATAACAGGACAAAACGTCCAGTACTCAATTACTCTCACTGGTCACTTGCGACGCACATTACTGGCGCTGATGAGTGAGCTTGACAGTGACTGGTCACACGGAAGTGGCCTTCACACAGAGGGTCCACTATACCGAGTAATTCGAACTACTTATGAGTAGCCAAGTATTTAGCTTGTTCGCCGAGCTTGGCAGTTGGATTGGAAACGTTTCATCGCAAATCGGGGCAGCATTGTCAGTGCAGGGTTGAGTGGGTCAGGTGTGTAGTCAACAGTTCCGGAATTCTTAAAGTCTAACTTCTTCCCATCGAGTTCGAAAGGTGAGAACTACACGATGGCGACAGCTAGCAGTTGCAATCGACGGTCGATTTTGCACGCAAACGAACGCTTGTCTCTTCCTGTCGGGCAAATCGGAACCACGACCTATCGGACGGCCTGATCGCCACCCAGTTTCGTCTGAGACAAAGTCCCAAGCAGTTGAAAAAAACAAAAGCACCAAACAAAAAGGTCTTATCACAATCCGCCCTAACCTCTCACTTAACGTGAGGTGATTCAAGTTCATCCGCTTCCGTGCGTTCCATAACGGTGTACGGATAAGAAACTTGACTACCACAAACGAAAGTGAGACAAACTCCAGTGTCCAAAGGCAGTTGTCGCCGAAGCACTGCTGGGATCCGGTCACGTCATAGGATATGTGAGGCCCAATTAACTGTTAAATGAGAGCTGAGCTGAGAACATCCCTCGTATTTATCCGGTTTAGTAAGGCCGACAAAGTAACATTGTGCCAATCTATGAACGTTACAAAGTGCATATATGGGGATGATGGTGGACTGTACAGTTTGCTGGTTACCTGTACTGCGGCCAAATTCATAACCCCCAAAACTACAGACAAACCTGAGTTGAAAATCAGAAGCAAACTGGCCTTCAGGTTGGGAGACGTAAAAAGTTGGGAGGACAATCGGCAAAAATTCAGCAATCATAACAGGTGAGTTCAATGGCGGACCCCTTGGCATGAAATCTCTACCTGTTACTGATACATCAACAGGTGACCGATGAAGGAACTCAACAAAAGCCATGTGATCAGTATGAGATGTCCCTCACTAGGTAGCATCACTCGTCCTCCACATGAAACGACACGGTCGAGATAACCATTTGGTGTACAAGCTGTGGCAACTGATCTCATTCTGCCTGCGCAAAACTCAGCACCTGACTTCCTGTACGACATAATGAACTCGTCAAAATCTAGGTGCTGTAAGAACAGTGAAAAATACCAGTCACGATGATAGCCGACAATTCTGAAGCATTGAGAAAATATGAGGAATCAGTCCGAATAAAGCAGGAGTTGAAAGGTTTCCCAATTCTCCAACGTTGAACATCCCACCCATATCTGCCAAAATAGGCCAAAATAATTTACCCTAGCCCACAATCCTCACAGGAATTCCCCACTATTTTTCACAACTCCGTTGAACGCAACTTCACCTCCACATCCAACACCACAAACATTTAGTCGCACGTAGACTGATACCTCTCGGTTCCGTCCAAAGCTTCACTCCAACTTCACTCCAACATTAGGTGGAGCCGCCGTAGTAACTTCTCCCGGAAAACGCAGTCACGCCGTTCTCCGCTTATTCGAATCCATTTTCTGCTGCTACACTAACCCTCGAGGGATGTACAGCAAAATCCGAAATGCTTGAGTGATGCCTGCGCACCCCGTAGGATCTCACTGTCACCACAGCAAACTTGCTGTGTCGAACATTCCGAACCTGGAGGATTCCCTCCGTGACCCTATCGCACATCACTATTGTCCACACATAGTCTCCAAGCCCTTCAGCTACCCTAAGACGGCGACGGAGAACGATATTACCTTGACTGTGGCTCGGCACCATCGTTAGTACCCCCCAAGTAAACCCATCGATGTCACGATTTTGGTAGCTCTGACGTACGGTCAATCCTCAAGAATTCACACTTATTGCTAAAATGGGAAATCGATGGCTACCGTTCGCCATTCCAAACACGAGCCTGTAACTTTACTGACTATCCATTGGAACTCATACATTCTTGAATACCCTATGACCACGAGCAACAGTCAGCCAGCTGTACAGGCTCCAACATCCATCCGTTGTGGATCGTGCGATAACCAGTGAACATATGGTAACTGAAGTCATTAACGGACAAACACCGTTTGTCTTCAGCAAACACGTTACTCTTAATTTCCACAACGTATTCCATGTTACTGGGGACAGCAGCTCTGACAGCCGGTGACCAACTTTCCTACAATATAACAGCTAGTACAAGCGAGCAACTGGGGTTCCCCTCCCTCCTAAAACTGACAACCCTGATAGACGTAGCATCACAAACCAGGATGGCCTTAGAGGATCGATCCAGAGTAAAACCCAGGGTAGGATGAACAAGCGCAGTAATCGTTAAGGACACCACCAACCCAACTCATGCAACCACACTACATTATTATGATTCTCTAAAGGATCACTGCGTATTGCTTGTCCCGGTCGACAGAAGTGGCTCATAATTCTGCCCGGTTAACCGGTTCAAAAGTGAATACAAACAATAACGTCTAAGGACAAGACATACAGGCAAACATCAACATACACTGCTAATGCTTCACCGCAAGATTATGCAACTGTCTCCGTACAACCCCGTGGTAACTCCACGGCATCCATCAGATTCGAATAAGAAAATGGTTTCAATCAAATTTGGTCAGCGGCCCCCACAAACTGGAAACTTTCGGACAGAAGACAGGTGGATAGACGACAACAACCTCCGAGGAAGTGCTCACTTGTAGGTCCCAAGAATCTTTTAACCCACCGGCCCGATAATTCGAGGACCTCCTGGACAAGAGCATTGTCATAAAGAAATGGGGCCAAGGAATCATCATACCCATTCACGAGGTGGGAGCAGAGTGGACGCCGCTACCTACCGATCAACAACTCTTTGCTTGAACCTTTCGAAAGTCATCGGATCCACCGTTGTCTACCAGATTCGAGCAACCCTATGTCTATGGTTCAACATGGCTCCATAGAGAGCGATCTTGTTGAACTAATCCTCATCCCTAAGCAAGATAAATGGACGAAAAACGTCGGCACGAAGCTAGAGATGGGCAGTCTATTCAGGCTTCTCTAAAACACTGCCAAGTACAACGTCACAGCCTCCAACGAGAACTAACAGCCTTTGAAGCCCTCATTGGTTGGTTGTGGAGTAGTCTGAGAAATCAATCGATCTTAAGCAGCGTTGGTGGACATAACTTCAACCTTATGTGAAGTGTCACAAGGATGGCTTCCGGGAGATCCGCTATTCTTGACCTCCATGAACGATCTGCAGGCCTCCAGCTTGTCATCGTGTAAGCTTCGCCGATCGCATGACGGCATGGAGAACAACAATCGATCACAGGGGCCCTCAGACCCCCCCCCACATATCATTACTGGTTCTTCCCAAAATTGTTCCAACGACTCGATTAAAATATTCAGGAGTAAGATGCTAGGGACGCCTATATAACTCACCAACCAATCGAACAACAATGACCTCTATGAAACACGCGATTTCAACGTACTTTAAGGATTCTAAGGACATGGGCCTGAAAATTAATAAGTAGGAGGGCAGAAAATAGACATGAAGCAAGGATTAGTTAGACTGATAGAGAAATCACCTACCCATTTCGCTGTCCACCCTAGGATCTACGACAGTGAACTGAGCACGTCCAAGTTCTTCCAATTGGTGGTCAGACAACTGAGCAATTGCCTGACTTCCACCCAGCAGTTGTACCAATTCGCTACTGTCCAAGCCCGAGGTCGCAATCTCATCCTCAAAGGCCATCATTCCACTTCCGCCATAGGTGGTAATGGTTGCCGGTGTCCCGTCCACCCCACTCATTGTGTCCAGGTAATAGGGATTGCCGGCGACCGAGGAAAACATATCGTGTGGGATCGATTCGCCAACCGGATAATCGCCTTGAAGTCTGATTTGTACGACATCGGGTGAATGCCCTTTGCCGTGTGAGTGTCCGCGTTGTTGTAACCTTGGAGGTGTGGGAAGAGACGAAAAGACGTCGTTATCTAATGCAGAATCACCAGATTTACTCCAGCTTCCGACGGAAATCTCTCTTGAGCATTAAACCAAGAGAGAATTTGCCGACGTTCAAAGCCCCCTTTTATACATGCTCGTTCGAATGCCCACGCAAAACATCGTACATTGGTACCAGAAAAAAGCGACCTGACAGAGCCCGTCTTTATCCAAGGGACTATAAAAGCCAATTCCAGTTCAACTGTTATCCATTTCATTGATTCCAACCAAAAAGTGTTAAGGAAGAAGTACAGGGTCTCGAAGTTTATGGGAGCTCAACTGCCTACTGCCCGAGACGATGTCCACCTGACCATGCAAACCGGAACTCTGTGCGCAAAAATAGGTCATACGGCCACTTAAGCTCCATTGGTCGGCAACAACAGCAAAACAGAACAGATCTCCGATTACGTAATGGTCGAAACTGACTTCTGTGCTTCAACCATTGGAGGGCAATTATTTTGCAGCCCTGTCAAACAGCAAACTTTTGTTCTATATATTTCGAATGACTTCACCTCATCACTAGGAACATCATCATCATCATCATCATCGACTCGACA